TAATTTATCAATTAAACTACTATATTTAATGCAACTAAATATCAACTACTAAACTATTTATACAGTATTAATATATATAACTTGGCAAATTACACAAATAATACTAATGCTACTTGGCAAAGTAGTTGATATACAAGCAGAATTGACTACATATAGGCAAGTGAACATACAATCTCATTTCTTAACAGATTCTATATTGATAACTCATCACAGAACACTAACAGTGATCATCAAATGCTCATAGCACAATGGACATTTTCTTTTGCAATAAACAAACCTAGAAAGAAAAACAAATGCAAACATAGAACTTTTAATTACAAAGCAATGACTAATAAAAAATGTGAAGATTTTTCAAACCAAATTAACTCTAACATGCACCAACACAAAATTTCTGCAGAAATAGATAATACAATGTCATTAGAAAAACTTTGGCACAAAATTTATACTTGTATTATCAATGCAGCTCTACAACATATACCTTACAAAAAACAAACAATTAAACATTTCTTTCACACCTTTAGTCCTAAAGCAACAGTTCTACACAAAGACCTTAAACTTATTAGAAACATTATATAAAGTTAAAAACTCATTTAAATATAACCTTACTATTTCTACACAAAACATAATTGATATCAATACCATTAATCACAAACACAACTTTGATATCCCAAATTTACCTGAAAACCTTTTACTATTATCACAATAGATTGATAATGCTAAGCAAGTATAAAAAGCTCTTTTCCATACACATAGTATAGAAAATACTCAAAATCTTAAGCAGCATATCAATATAGCTATTAATAACAGATGTGTATGACTAATAACACAACCTACCAAAATGATAAATAGTATTCTTAATAGACATACAGATCTAGTACATTTTTACAACATTAAAACTGATAATAATGTCATAACTAATCCTACAATAATACTTCAACATGTTCAATAACATTTTCAACACTGGACCCAACACCAACCTATTAATACTACAATATTTAATTAATATTAGATAGAAGAATATCAACCCAAACAGTCCATCAATTGCAACTGGTATGCCTCCCTACTTAAACCTATTTCTACAGAAGAAATAATGCAAACAATACAACAACTTCCAAATAACAAATCCTGTGGGCCACTAGGTATAAGCTATGAAATGCTTAAACACTGTGGTTCATCAATGTTACAGGCTATTACCCAACTATTTAACAAATATCTCAATACTAACATGATACCTAAACAGTAGAAAAACAGCAGAATATATCCTATCTCAAAAAAGCCCAACTTCGATGGCAACTTTAACAACACATAACCTATTAGTTTAATTAAATATACCAAAAAATTATATACAAAAATCTTAACCAACTGACTTTCTAGTATCCTATCTTCACATCCAATTCTTAGCTCTTACGATTACATCACACTACCTGATAATAGCACCAATACACCTCTACATATTCTAAACAACTTCATTGAAGATGCCAATAGCAATAAAAAACTAATATGGCTACTTTCACAGGACATGAGCAAAGCATATGATTTAGTTAATATCAACCTTTTAGAAAAATTACTGCATCATATTAAACTCTCACAATCCATAATCTGCACAATAACTAATTTGCTCAAACTATACTCCAATCAAGTAATTACAAATTTTGGATTAATATCATCATACCCAGTAGAAGATAGCATTGATTAAGAAGAAACCATAACTCCTTTGCTATGGCAAATCTACTATGACCTTCTTATTAATCATATTCATAAAAAATTCAAAGGATACACATCAACAGTTACATACTCAACTTCTTTATTTCCTGCAAAGTACCAAACAACTTATGCAAATACTTCTGTATTAGTATATATGGATGATACATTATGGTTAGCAGAATTCCAACAGCAACTACAAAATATTATTAATATAGCATCTACATTTTACCAAATGGCAAACATTAAAGTAAATCCTCAAAAATCTAGTCTAATATCTAATACAAAACACACACCCACCTTCACTTTTCTAAACTCAACTATTACAACACAACCACCTAACACACCTCTAAAATTCCTTGGTTGCTGGTATACTGCAACTAACAAACAAGCCATCACAATCAAACTCATTCTACAAGAAACATTTGGCTTAACAAATATAGTTTAAACTAAACAAATAACAGACAAACAAGTTTCTTATATAATTAATAATGTCATTATCCCTATTATCGAATACCATATACATAATATAGTACTTTCTCAACACATATGTGACAAAATTTTATTTATGCTAAACTATAATATATATAATATCAAAAATATATGGGACATCCAGTTACAACATCATATTACCAATTTTCTAATTAGACTGAACACAACAGATCTACTTGGAACTAGTATACATATCTAATTACAACAACTACAAAATAATCTGTGGTCTCCTACTAATATTTTACAACATCCACATCTACTAATAGATGGCCCAAATAAAAACACAATAATATATCAAATAATACTACTACTTTGACATCTACAATTTACTATCTCTGCATATACAACATTATCATATATTTATAATACCCATATACATCAATTGAAAACATTCTCAAAACATATAAAGAATAAAACAACTTCAAAAAACAATTATGAACTAAACATATTCTCTATTTTGAACAATTAATCTCATCTGATAACTCTACACTTTTAGACTAGAAACACATTTCACCAAGACTCGAACAAATTTCTACAGGACATAAACCAAAATGGTTCACAATAATAGAAGAATAAATCATTATATATTCTTTTACTAGAAAACTTAATTCTAATCTGAGTCTTTCACAAACTAACTCCTTATTTTTTACAACTGAATATTACAATTCAAAATTAAAACCTTGGCTTATTACTGTAGATTACAATAGTAAACAATTGATAATAGAAAAGGCATATAAATATAACCAAAACAACAACATTATATCCATTATATACTGGACAATCGAAGCAAATGCTTCTACACAAACCTCTATTCACTCTCATCAGTTAATTGTATACCATATACAGGATGCTCACATAACTTTAAAAGAATACTAAACCACTGTACATTTGATATTTCAGCTACTTTTTCTACAAAATTCTTAGGAAGAAAACAACAAAATCCTACAAACAAACTTAAGCTTAATGCAAATTATACAGATCTAGTATACTCAATTGCATTACATAACTCTATGAAAATTTCTACACTCCTATTCATTACCTTATCATATGATCCAATTTTTCTTATTTTTTATACCAACTTATCATCTATTAAATTGCAACAAATTGCAAACCAAAATGCCCAACATACCAACCTTACCTTTTACACTGATGGATCTATTACCAATATTACTACTGATAGATGCTCAATGAACATTGAATAAATACAAATACATAACAATACTATTATTGAAACTTACTTTTCTCGAATTAAATTCTGGCCATCATCATAAAAGCTGAGCTAGTAGCTATTCTATCAGTTATATGCAAGTATCCTTGAACAACAATATCCAAATCTATACTGACTCACAATCTGTAATATCCAAATTTAACAAAATTACTAACAACATAATATCACAGCACAAACAATACTCCTATAACTATTGGCTAATATGATATACAATTATTAATTTAATTATATCATACAAATACAACATTACACTTCACAAAATACTAGTCCATAAAGACAATATATTTAATAATGAAACAAATAAACTTGCATCAAACTACAACTCAACAAATTTTCTGAACATATGATATAACAACATCTATAATACTTCATATACTATACAATATAACCAAAATACTATTGAACAACCTATCTGACGAGCAATTAAAAACATCTGCAATACACATATAATATCTATATGGTCATCTCAAAACCAAATGAACAATATTATTCTTCTATTCTCACAAATTAACTGAGAAGCAATCTGGCTATATCTAAATAACAACATTAACAGTACTAGCTCATATACAAACTTTACACTTAGCAATAGTAAATTCTTTAAAATTAAACTACAACTTAACATACTACCTACTCTTTTCCATCTTTACAACTTATACCTGAAAGCAATAAATAGCAATAGCTGTATTACATGCCATACACCAGAACACTCATTATATTGGATTCTTTGTTTAAACACTACACTCTTTACCAATCTTATTCATAAAACAATAACAGAAACAATTACTCATATAATTGATATTACTAACACTCAAATTAATGAACTACAAGAAATATTTTTACAACACAACAGCCTTTTGTTTAGCAATATAACTCCACAACAAACTAACATTTATACAACATTACAAAGATACATGCCTAATAGCCTTATTTTATCAATCAGACTATTTACTTAATCACAAACAAAAGCAAAAAATATTACTACTAAACTCCTACACAAGCATTCTCAAAAAGTTTATAAACAAATATGGAAACCATATTGTACAAAACTGAAACAATGAAAAATGATAACAATATCTTACAGTATACCAAAAACCAACAAAGAAAACTTATATGAACTAATTATAATGATATATACTATGTTAACAGACATTAATTACACAGTACAACCTGCAATTTATGTGAACTATCAAGCTTAAATCATATTGATCCAAATACCTGCCCACAACTTGGTTGTGCTCTATGCAAAATTAATTTATAACTCGATCATTGGATACTTTATAACTACTCTACAAACAACATTTTATACTATCAAATCTAGGTGAGTTTTAACCACTCTAATAGGTTTAGGTTGCAGATAAATTAGATATATAACAGTTAGTTTTTTTCTAAAGTCTGAGCTTTATTCTTGTAACAAATTTGTAATTGGAATAGATTTTGTAATTTATATCCAGAGAAGCCCCTGGAGGCATCTTTAACAAATTAATAAAGATATAAGCAAAACCTCACCTTAACTCCAAAAAAAAAGATAATAATAATTTAAAATTTTTATTATATTATTAAATGCATCCATGTAATTATCTCAACCACTAATATTAAAAATTGTTGCAACTTCATCTTCAGATGTTGCAGGATATTCTATAAGTAATATACTATGAATTATTTGATTTGCATATAATATTTTTGTAAATAATGCCACTTTTTGTAAATCTTGATTTTCATTTACATCGCTCTAAAAAAAAAAAAAATTAAATTAATACAATAAGCTAAAATATATTCTGCACTATTCGATTTATAAATTTAATTATATTACAATATTCGAATCTGAATCTTCATTAAACCATATTTCATTATATTCATCAATATCTAAATTCGAAAACTCTTTAGTAACACCAGTTTTTAAATTATGATTTTTTTCAACAGTCGAATCCAAATCTGATTCCATTAGACAAGGTTTTATTTATTAAAAAGAAATGCAAGAAAAAAAAATCAAATAATTGTCATCGATATATATACAGACTATATTTTATGCATCATTGATTGATCATGTATATGGTATCGCAAAAAATATATATATATTTCGGGGTCGTCAAGAGAAAATCATGCTTTGGATCTTAAAATTACATTTTATTATACGAAAATTTCCAAATTAAATAAACATAGTCCGATAAATTGTAAACTTAAAAGTCCGCCTAAAATGTAAATTTTTTTTTATTTATGGAATCATAATAATTTATTATATATCATACATACGTACTTGTTTTGTTAATCATACATTACATCATTTTAATAACTAATTAATCTTTCTATATATACACACTTTAGAAACTATACAATACATATTTACTATATTCTCTCATTACATTAGAGTTTAAGGTTAGAAAGGTATATAGAAAAATTGCTTAAGGAAATTTTTTAATTAGCGACTTTTTGAGAAATAACGATTCTTGAATAAACGAACGTTTGTTTTGATCTTTCTAATCGTGTAACGTTACATTAAATCGTGGTTCACTATTGGATAATCTACGTTTATCATCACGTGACAATTCAATTTTGGTGGCGATGCTGGGGTAGTTACACTGAGCAGTAGATCATTTCAAAAAAAAAAATTCGGAAGGCTAAATCCGAGCGATTGTTACGGCTAAAATTGTGTCATAAGTTATGTCCAATATTCGGACAATACCGTATGTACGTACGTACGAACCTGAGCCAATAATGATTTAAGTTATTCATATTGTCACAGGGTTAAAGTTTTATACCATTAGCTTGGCAGCTGGGTATAGATCATAAGTACAGCAGTTTACGGTAGTCCGCAACTTGAAGCTCTGAATCTAGAAATTTATCTTGCCTAGTTTGACCTATAAGTTATCTAAATTAGGTTCAATAATCGGGACAATTTTTCCTTAAAATGTATAGAATAAAAGAAAATAGAAATTTACGTAATGATTCATTCATATAATTGGTTTACAATATAAGAATATAGAATGCACAAAAACCTTGTAGAATTTTAACTTTGGTCACATTTACACATACCTTATCTATTAGTTAATGATGAATAATGAAGCGTTGGTGAATATAGAAAGAGATATTAATCACAAACATACAGGAACATTATTTTATTTGCAGGAAATAAAATGTTGTATTGCAAAACTATAATTTCCATAAATATGTAATAAGAACTTCCTAAAAAGGATTATTAACAAAGAATAGTATTTGATGAGCGTAACGTACACTTAGCATTTTCTAAAATTATCTATTAAATTCTAAGTTTAATAGTTCTATAGGTTCGGCTTTGACGCTTATTATTTTAGCTTATTTAACTATAGTCAATCAATCCGAGCAACAAAATATAATGAACTCCGCCTCGATAAAAAAGAAAAAAAAAACCTCAATAGATAAACTTATACCAGTACGAAACAGCTAATCAAGGACCTCAAGGACCTCAAGGACCTCAAGAACCTCAATAAGAATAAAAACTAAATATCGATAAAGGAAAACTCCGAGTTGTCCCGATATTTGTTCTACAAACTTACTTTATTAAAAGGTATAAATACAACAAGTCTTTGATTTTCAAAGGTAATTTTGAGGGTCTAACAATTACCATATTTACGATTCACAAATCATTGTCAAAAATGCCACAAACATCTCATAGCCTTTCAAAATTCCAATACAATACAACAAATGCCTGTGATTATTGCAAACGTTTAAAAATTAGATGCAAAAAGGTAGCGCTTCCCGATCAGTCTACCAAATGTAATGAATGTATAAAACGTAATATTGAATGCATTTATTCTGTTCAACCAAGAAGACGTCCTATTGAACCCAATAGAGATTCTGAACATAAAGATAATGAGTTATTATCCATCACATTAGATATTCTCACCTCTACCTCATCATTGCCATGTCCATATGAAAATATTTCAGGCCATCATTGTCATATGGGATGTATTGTGAGATATAAAAATACCCATTACAACTAGAAATTTATTATATCAATTATCGTTTTTTGAGCCCACTATCATAATATCATATTTTACGTATTTCTTTATATATTATTGTGTTTCGATTTTGGCAAAATCTAACGACAAGGCTATAGACTAATTTAAGAAAATATTTTAAAAGGTGTTAGATTAATATGAATTAGCAAAAATGAATAATTCGATTATGTTATAAATTTTTCCGCGTTACTAATAAATAATAAATGCGTAAAGTATGTTTAGAAAATAAATTTGAAAATTAGTAGAGTCTATAAATATTTTAGACATATAATAAGTTAAATGTTTTATTTAAGAATAAGTTAAAAATTTATGGATATAAGATAAAAGATATTTATTCAATAAACAAATATGAACATAAGCAAGAATATTATTCAAAACTTCACATTTAAAATACAGCATTTTCTTAATTTTAATCTATATTAGAGAATTTTTATTCATCACCGGAAGTTAGTATTTCGATATGCCTTTGAGATGATTTATAGTTGTATAAAATAGTTGTATAAATACAGTAAGCCCTTCCTAAGTGTAAAATCCCCTAAGTGCAAAATTTCCGCTATAAGTGCAAACTATTTTGGACTCAGCCTTGATCAGAACAATATATATTACTTAAATAAATTTAATTACATGTTATATTTACGTCGTAGAAGCCCGAAGTCTGGTTTTTCCTTTGCTTCACCCAAATTATACAAAAAAAAAAATACTCAAAAAAAAAAATATATAATATAGAACAAATAAATATAAATAACATCATAAAGTAAATTACACATCATAGACCCGTCGATGTTACACGCTGATCTTTCACAATACCAGATCATTCCGCTAGTACATGTTATGATTATAATCCAACACCATTTTATTATAATAAAAATGTTGTTGGATTATAATCATAACATGTACTAGCGGAATGATCTAGTATTGTAAAATAATTTATTTATATGTTGCACATCGGGTGAAATATCAGTCGTGTAACATCAACGGCACCATGCTTAATACCAGTACGATCACGTTACATGTGTAACATGAAATGTGGGGAGAGGATGGCTTAGTTGATGTCGCCTTTCCTGATTTTCAAATTCTTTTTTTTTAAATAATAATAATTTTCATTCATTCATACGTAATATTATTACGTTCAATTAGAGCTTAGCATATTTAGTTTTATTCGTATCGATTTTTCAGTGTATATGTTGTACGTCAGAGTGAAATATTCGTGATATAGAATGCACCTAGGTTTATTTCAAATAAATATGTTGTAATTGAATTCTAAATGTGCTCAAGTCGTTAGAGAATTCCAAGTCAACTTACAATGAAATTATGTAATTGTATTCCAAACATGTGATTTTGCAATTGCACTTAATATTATCTACTCGTGAAGAGGGTTGTGTAATAACACTTCTCAAAGAATTTTGAACTACAGTCTAAGATTCTGAAAAAAAGTTCGTTATAGAATCTTACTCTTTTTATACTGAACTATTGTAAAATTTCAAAAATTTGAGTTCGTTATATCTAGTGTCGACTGTACTATCTAATTTTGGAAACTTATCAGAACCCAACGGAAGAAATTAATCAGAATCGTACTAATTTTAATAATGCCAGATTTGTATCAGTGCACAAAATTTCCGGATTATGTACTGTACCTACTTTTTTTGTCGGTAATTTCTTTTTTAATCGGAGGTTTAGATATACATAATCGACCAATAAAATTTACCTAAGCAATATAAATTTCCGACCGAGGCGGAAACTGGGAAATCTCCAGCATTTTACAATAGGTTTTGTGCTCTGATTTGTACTCAAGTTTATATGGGTAATTCAAAACTTCAAAGGTATTTGCTGGATCATGCAAAACCTTAATACAAAAAGTCTTCATAGATTTGTTGCTAAGATATTTGGAAAGAAATTCTTCAAATGTATTATGAGGCAAAAATGGATAATTCGGTCATCGGGTAGAGTTTTCAAGGAACGAAAAAGTAAATAATAACAAGTAATAAAAAAATTATATCTTATCTTGACAATTTATCATGACGATATGACGTAATCAACTATCGTTGTTCTGCCATTCTCAATCGACACGTGTTATTTTACAACCTCCACCGATTGAAAAATAACTTAGGTCGGTTCCAGCACTAGCAATTAGAGGCATAATTTTGCGGCCCGAGACCGGCCGCAATTAGAACTAATTTTTTGTCCGCCCTTGCCCGGCCCGCAGTTATAAATTTGTGTTCCGAACGATACACTGACCGATTCGACTAAGTTTGTGATTTCAGCATAAAAAATCACAATATTGTACATAGCAATGGCACATGATTATTGCTCCCGCATTACAAAAGTTTTGCCAGCACTGTGAAGGTTTTGGCCAGCGTTATTTACTCGCAAAAATTACATATCACAAAACTTACACCCTATATATAAAAGACATATTTTCTACAGACAATTCTAACATAATAGGGCCGTTCGAAGTTGATACTTCGCTTAACATCCCCCCTAGCTGAAGGCTCCCCCGAGAAATGAACAACCAATCAAACCGCTGGATAGCTCTCACCAATCTCCTGATTTACAGCGACCAATCAAATTGTCACATATTTGTTCATTTTATATGTTCGTTTAATTTATCCCCCCCAAAAAGTTCTAAAAGTGATGTTAGCCGAAAATTCAATTGCAAGCGGCCTTATGCACAGATGGCTTTTAAGATCATTAACTAATTATTGATACTACATATATTGTAGATTAAGATAAACCTTATAGTTACCGGAACTGTAGCACAAATTCTTTATTTTTATAGAATAACTACAATACAAAAAGAGTGATAAAAGATTAAGGATTGCAGTTACAAAAATAATCAAGAACATCATCGTGTATGAATTTTTTAATTTTTCTCGTTAGGTGACTGAATTATTAAGAATGTTATTAATTATTGTATGTACTTATCGTAAAGTACAAAGATTAAATTGGAAATTAAAATACTAAAATAGATGGATCAATAGATATAAGTTGAAAATTTAAATTATTTATAAAACTTATACTAAAATATTTTGACTATGAATCTAAATTCATAAAACTATGCTTTGAAATGAACTAAAAATTCTATCCGTAAATTATTCAGTCCTTATTTTATAGAAAATATTTATGTTCATATAGAAGTAACTAACTGATAAATGATATTTATATTATTCTTTATTCGATTTTTGACCTTCCAATTTCATTTCCATCACGTTGAATGAGCACGGTCATACCTTCAAGTTCTAAGGGCGATGAAATGTCAAAGAATTCTTCATTAAGAAATGAGTAGTCATTTTTACTTAAGGATTTGGTTACAATATCGTCTGTAAGATTGTATACCATATTACCATTACGATCTTGAATTTGGTATTCATAATCACCTAATCCTTTATCGGTAAGGAAGTGCTGCATCACATTCATAAAAATTAAGTTGGTTAAGATTGAACCATTGAACCATACAAACGAGCTAGTTAGTTCATCAGAAGAAACCTCCGCATGACTAAAATTTGGTTCATCTTCTCTTTTAATTGGAGAGGTTTGGGCTAATGTAGCAAAGATCATACAAATCAATGCTAAAACAGCTAGATGTGAGAGTTTTTTTAACATATTCATTTTTTTGTAAATAGTCCGAAAACGAAAATCTTTAATTCGCGATTTTTAGGATTTTTTTTTAATATCAATTTTTTTATTTTGGTAGAAAACTAAAACTAAATACTTGTTTCTTTTATTCTTTAAAAATAATACTACGCACGTGTATACTGCACATTTATAATTGATTTATAGATGTATAATATATTGTAATTAACTTTCTTCCTTTTGAATTTGAGGTTTTCTTTATTTATAAATCCCTATACATATACGTATTTAAATCGTATTTATGCAATAAATTTTGTAAAAAGTTATTATTAAATATATAAATAACCAATTATGCAGAAGTACAGAATTTTGCATACAACAGAATTAATTACAGAATAGCAATTGAATACCATAAATATGATCTGAAAAAATAATAACGACACCAGTAATCGGAAACTATATATATCAGAAGAAAAATTTCAATTTATGTAGATTTTAAAAACTTTATAAACCCATTGTAGATTTACATAGTTATTTATATTAAAACTATCACGGGTCGAAATATGGCCTAATTTAATCTGATTGCTAATTGATTGCTACCTGATTTTTTGTAACAACAAAAAAACAAGATGAAACGTCAATGTTACACGACTGATCCTTCATCCGTGTGCAACGCATAAAAAAATTATTTTACATTACCAGGTTATTCCACTAGTACAGTAGCCAACAAAAGTAACGCCCGATTTGCAGATCGTCACACGTGAGCAAATAAAAAGGCTGTGCATACCCCATTCTTACGAATTTTGGGGCAAATTTTTTTTTATTTTTTGCTTCCTTGACGTCGAAGGAACCAAGCACACGCAAAAAAAATTTTTTTTTTTATGAAAATGTCATGCAAACAAATGACAGAAAAAGAGAAAGGAATGATCCTTGCTTATATCAAGATAATGAGCGCTGAACAAGTTGCTCACAAGATTAAGCATAACCCAACAACAGTTTGAAGGTTTTTACAGAAATACAGGAGGATCAAAAAAATCAAGAATTTACCTCAGTCCGGACATCCTCCCACCCTAAAGAAGCAAGAAAAGACCGTCATAGTAAAAAAAGCATTGAAGGAAAGATGTGTATCACTGCTCAAAATTGTAAAGGATTTAAACCTTCAATGCAGTGTGCAAACTGTAGCTAGGACCTTACACAACATTGGATTTTGTTCTCATGTCGCTGCCTTGAAACCTTTTTTATCAAATAGCAATATAAAAGGACATATGGAATGGTGTAATCAAAATAAAAATAAGGATGCTTATTATTGGAGACATATCATTTTTTCAGATAAAATGAGTATAGAAGTAGGTAAACAATCTTGCCAAGTTCGTGTATGGCGTTGCATGGATAAGAGATACAAACATGAGTGTTTGCAACCAAATTTTAGAAGTGGAAGGGTTTCAGTAATGGTTTGGTCCTGTTTTATGGATAACATCAAAGGTCCCATGGTATTTTTTGATGATTACAAAGGTCCCAAGAAAAAAATTAATAAAAATATTTATACCAAGGTGTTAAACGATCATCTTATACCGTTTTTAGCTGCAGTCCGTTTGTTAACATCCCTCATCCGATTTTTCAGCATGACAATGCTCCAATTCATAAGGTGTCAAATTGGCTAAATTCACAAAACATTGATTATATGAATTGGCCCTCACGATCCCCTAACCTTAACCCTATAAAAAATATTTGGAAGATTGTAAAGAACAATATTCAGAACCGTGATGACTTCCCGAGGAATAAATCTGACCTTAAAACGGCCTTACAAGAAGCATGGTCAAATTTGGATACATCGGTTCTTCGTGTAGTTGCAGACTCAATAACACGAAGAGTCGACACTATCACAAGTATAAGAAGTTGCTTAGTAAAGTATTAAATAGATATATAAAAAAAATTTGATGTATTTGCGGCCAAAATTCAATAAATAAAAATTTTATTTTTTGATCAAAAATCAGGCGTTACTTTTGTTGGCTACTGTACATGTTATGATTATAGTCCCACACTTTTTTATTATAATAAAAATGGTGTGGGATTATAATCTGGTAATAATGACGTTTCATCTTGTTACAAAATATCAGATAGTAATCAATTAGCAATTGGATTAAAATCAGGTATCCAATTTGTACATCATTTAATCTGTATTTAAAATTGCAAAAAAAATTTAAATTGAATATTAAAACTAGTATTAGATTTTAAAGTTTAAGATAAGGTCTGGGCCAAAAGAAGGCTTTCGTATGATTGGCCATTTAAATCAATTTAATTTTACATTATTTTACAGTTTAAAGTACTTTTTAAAAAAAATAAAACTACGAAGAATAAACAAAAAAGAAGCATATAAAAAGTTTTATTAGGGTTATAGAACTCAACTATTACAAATAATTATACAGTAGCAATCATAAATAATGGAGCAAAAAAAAAATGGTTTAATTGTATGATTTCATGCAATTTGGGTTGAATTCTTGATTTTTTTTTTTTATTATATTCATAAATAGTATTCTTTTTTAATGTTAGAATGTTAGAAATGATCATTATTCCCAATGCAAAGATAATTGTGCATGTATCACCAAATAGGTGATGCATTATTTTTGATCATTTTTGACAAAGATCAAAATATGTAATCTATAAAATGTAAATACAAATAAAAGTAAATTTTATTATTAATTATTGTATCTTGTACATTGATTTATAATTAAACAAAATAAAAAAGAAGCATATGATTTCTATTTAAAGAGTTCATATATTATTTTCACTTTAGAAAGGATATACTACAAGGCATATAGATCAGATTTATAATGTTTTTTTTTTTATAATCTTACAAATAAGTCAAAAGTAATTAAAATATTACACATTTAAAGATTTTAGAAAGGTTGGTTGCTTACTAAAAATGGGTAAATCAATTTAAAGAAGAATTATAAATTTAGTTATCTCTTGTCAGTGTTCTAATGCAATGCAAGTATGGTTCTACTTGAAAGCAAATGAAAATCTTGAAATTTCTAAATTTATTATTCATTATATACTCCATAATTATGGTTTAGTATTAGGAATTAAGAAAAAAAAATACTATTTAGTTAATCTTATCAAAAAGATCAGTACCAATTTGCAAAAAAATATAAAAATTAGACTATTAAAGACTAATTAAAGATAATTTGGTCTGACAAGTCAAATTTCAAATTTTTGAATCAGATAGAAAGCAGTACTATTGGAAGCATTCTGAGAAGCCATTAAATCAGTTCTATATTAAACTTACAGTAAAGTTTGAGGATGGCTTGGTTATAATTTGGACTTGTTTTATCTCTTACAATATTGATGGCTTTTGCAAAATTAATTGTATAATGAATACTGAATTATATTGACAAATATTTTATAAAGATTTTTTAAAAACTATAAAAGATCATGGTTTTGATGTTAAGGATATTATTTTTCAACAAAATGACATAACTTCATATACAATGACTTTGACTAAACATCTGTTTAAAAGAAATAAGATTAAGTTTTTTAATTATCCTCTTCAATTATCCAACCTCAACCTTATTAAACACTTGTAGATTAAAATAGACTAATATCTTAGGAACCTTTTCAGTCAAATTTCAAAATCTGTACAAACTTAATTAAGTTAATGTCAACACATATTTGTGATATAATTAGAGCTCAAGATGGTTATACCTAATAGCAAAAATGAAAATCAATTAAAATAAAAAAGTTTTTTATTGTATTTTGCAGTAGTATGGTATTAAAAATGAACAAAAATAATGTAATATGTTAATTTAAATAAAGCTTATGTCTGTAAAAAATTCAGTTCAATTTTTTTTTAATTTTATTGGTGAAAAATAATACTATTTGCAAATTTAATAAAAAAAAACTGAAAATTCAAGTCAAATTGCATTTTTTTTTTTGCTTCATTATTTATAATTGGCACTATAATTATATCTGGTTTTAAAAAAGTTAAATAATAGTGACTTCTTAAATATAGATAGAATTAGATTATTACTATTGTAATTTGGAAATTCAACATGTCTGTTTTGTTAGTACTCTTTTTCAATTCTTGTATAACCTATAGTAGCTAAGTTGAAAAAGTCATATCAGATTCATAGGTAAGTACTGGTCTTCTCTTGAGTCTTTTCTTCAACTTATTCTTATTTTATTTTTGTCTTCTTTGTATATCTCAACTCAAAATTATACTATATCAAATTAGAGTTGAAACTCTTCTCTTGTATCAATGGCTTTTTATATGACTTATAGCGAATGGGTTTAGTAATTTTGATAAATAATTATATTAATAATGGGATTAATAATAGTTTATTAGTTTGAATAGCATAATATTTTTATTTTTATTAAGAAATAAGTATTTAGTTTTATTATACAAGTATATTTAGTTAGGGATGCTATTTCAATTGTACAAAGTTAATTAATTATTACAAATTTGACAAAATTTCATCATTATAATTTTAATTTATTATTATAAAAGAAAAACAAAATTTCCAGACATTGATATTAAGAACCTACTAGAAAAAAACTTTTTTACTTAACTATTTTATTAATTAAAAAGTTATTCCAAGTATAAGAAAAAACCAAAAACAATATTAAAAAAGCTCAAATTTAATAAAAGTTTATTGAGACAAAAAGAACAAAAAAATTAAATTAATTTTTAAGAAAAAAAATTAAGTTTTTTTTTTATATAATGTTATTCAAGATAAATATTATTGTAATAAATTATTATCTAAATAAAAAGAACTTTATTTTGTATATAAAAGATTATATCAGATGTTTACAAATTGCAAACCTTAAGTAGTGATATCTTGAAAACATCAATTAATACCCTATTACTAAAAAAATATTATAATAGATATTTGTAGAATTTTATAATTATTATTAATTAATTACTATTATTAACATTAAGAGTTTTACACATTTTTGACCATAACTTTTAATATACCAAACCAATTTGGATGAAACAACCACCATTGGATTCAACTCACTGAGACGATTCTAATGAGCAC